AGAAGACCCAATGTATCCTTGATAAAATTAGTGTAGATGTTGCTATTCAAATTTCCATTGATAAAATAATTATCACTTTTATGTACTTTCTATGAACTTCAATGACCTTATGTGATAGGTCGTTAAACTCGTTTTAAGCTCCTCTATCATGATACAGAAACAAAAACATACCGATCCATTTGAAAAAATGGAGGTGACCTTCAAATGTCCAAAGTACCGCCACCTGCAAAAAAACTATTATCGCTATCGGATGGCCCCCTTCGTACTGTGCAATTTTATTTCAGCAAATATTTCTGTGAACCTTATAGTTTCGAAGATATCTGTGGTGCTAATAGTTATTGCCCCACCCTGTATATATATATATATATATATATATATAGAATTAAATTTAAATTTAGTATCATTTATGTACTGTGTACTCTAAGTGTTATAATGTAAAGCTATATATATTATTTCACTTCCATGTTTCATTTGAATGCATGATAAGATAATGAAATATGTACTCTGTTATTATTTATGAAAATATGTCCTTATACTGCGACGGATACTAAGATTGGTATGGAATATACCACCTTATGTATTGCAGGTACAACCACAAATATTAATAAATTAAAAGCATTGTACACAGCGGTGACACTTTTGTAACGTAAGTACGTTACGTTACATTTTTCGTTACATCTTTCGTTACTTATTACTTTTATATCAACAGGTTTACTAAATTATCATCCTATTTAGCTAATCAAATTGAATTGTGTTTATGTTTATACTCCGATGGTTAAAGTATTTTTTTCATTTGTATTTTTTCTTTTCATTATTCATCTATATTTATGAAGCTTAAGAAATATTCAAAAAGGAAATGATAATAATGAACAGTTGGAATGTTTTATGTATATTTAATATACACTAATAATATTAAACCATACTCCGAAATAATAACATGCCTTAAAGCTTCATTTATTTTTCTAACGTAATTTGTAAGTAATTGAAGCATTAAAACTAGAATAATTGCATGTTCGCAGCTCTGAGGGGCTAGCATCTTCTGAAGCTGCCCATCAAAAAAAGACTACTACAGGATATCGAAAACGTGAACATACTCCAGACACCGAATCTAAGCATAAGCGTCCCGCAGTGTGAAATAGTAATGCTTTAGAATGTCTTAGGATATAATATCTCAAAATATAATAATTAGCTTTGCCTGTATCTTCTCAGTAATCACATTACTATTTATGATAAAAAAAAAATATTAAATATATCCTTATATTTGTATTCGTAAAATACATTAGAAAAGAAACGTTTCAACTGATATTATTATTACTCTTATTTCTCTTAACGTCTACATTACGTGTTCATAACATAAAAAAGGAAACGTTTCAACTAAGATTGCTATACTTTTCATTTCTCTTATGTATATCAAAATATAAAGTATAATACGAAAAGTAACATTAAAAATATAATATTACTCTTATATTTTAGTTATTGTATAAATACTCAAATGTTGATTCAAATTTAAAACTGTCTATCATAAAATAATGAATAATAAATAAATTAATAAACAGCATATATGAGTTTAAAAAATCAATTTATTATTTATTTATTATTTAACAAAAATCATATTTATATTTTTGTTATTTTTAATCTTTTCTAACAAACATAAGAGTATAATTTTCTTAAAAATATAATTTAATTTTTAAGGAGGGTTTTTTTACAACAATAGAACTATACGTTGTTCTAAAAGTTTTATTTGTTTGAAAATTTATTTGCACAAAATAAATGTATTAACTAAACCATATTCATAATAATACCATATTATTAATTTTAAAAAATTAAACCAACCCTGAAATTAGTTTGATCTGAGAAAAACCTGTTGTATACATAGAAATAAAAATAGTATAATTAAATATATTGTAAATGTTCACAGTAAATTTATAAAATATGTGTTGTTACTGTATATATTTCATATTTTTTCCTCGTTATCAATCCATAAGTTTTGTAACAACACAAATATTGAAGAAAAATGTGAAACTTATTAAATGAAGTTATGAACATTACGACCCATGTAGTTTTTAAGACATAACTATTTAAGAACACCTAATATTCTGAAAATATATAGATAAATGATAAACCTTTACAGAATGGTTATAGAATTTGTTCGTATATCTAACAATTTGACTAATATAAAACGGAAAAGATATTAAGAATAAAATGAAGAGCGCAAATTTGTTTATAATTCGTTGTCGGAAAAAAATAATTGGACATATAACAAAGCATAAATATGATAGTCAATAGAAATAGAATAACATAAGAGGAAAGCTGGCAAAAGATATAATAGAAGATTATGTTGTATTGGCAGCGCACAGGGTGGACTGACGATTTCTGTTAATTATCTTCCGCAAGGGTGTTAATTCTTGCATTAATAGTCAAGAGTTGAGCCAAAAATGTTGAATCACTCATGACAGTAGCTAGAGCTGAAAGCATATCCTTCAGAGTATCTTGCATTAGACCCAATTGACGAGCAGTTTCTAATATAATTTCAACTTCATTTGCATCAGGATTTATCTGAAACAAGAAACGTTTTTTTAATCATATTATTTTGGTGAAATTTAATTAGTTATAAATTTAGTTTTAAGTATATTGATAATAATTACTTTAGGCGAGCTGCAGAATTTGCTGAATGGCATTTTAATCCTTTTCTTACCACTACTTGTTTGATAGAAAATCGTAAAAGTTTGTGCATTATTCATGTCTAGGGCAATGGGAAAATATATACCAGCTGTGACATGACCTTTAGTGTCTCGGGCTAGTAAACTTCTGAAATTGTATACCAAATTTCTGCGTTCTGTAACGTCGATAGCAGTAAGATATGGCCTTGCTATATAAATAAGAGCAACTTGTGTTCTTTCCAAGGCACCTGGTCGAGTTTCCCTTTCATGCCATTCGACATAATCAGGATCTTCACCGCACAGAAAATAGTTGTACTCTTTCTTACAATTTGAATCGTCAGATTGAGTAAACCAGCCCGTATGAGGATATAATTTATCAGCCATTACTGTAATTACACGAGCAACATGATAACCAGGATCAAGAAGCAAAACACCTTGACGTCCATTAATCTTGATTTTCAGGCACACTAGAACATGTTCTTTCTCTCCACTATCTGCTGCCGGTGGGCCACCAACATAACTAGCAATATCTCCAATTGTCTGTAAAACAATTCATTTAATATTAAGTATTATTTGTTGATCCCCAAAATGATAACATTTAATGAAAATAAATTTACTTCTTCGCAAGACACTAAGTAGAGCCCGCTTGCTATAGTAGGAAACTTTTTATTTAAACTACTTAGTCGACGTAATAATTCAAATCCAAGCCCAACACAAGTATAGTGTTCAGGTGTTATTAGAGGCTGATATTTGCGATAAAACCGATCCAATTTACTTTCTCCACTCGTAATATAATTCTTATAGAATCTATTGGGCAAAATAATATAAGTATAAAATAATGTTTAACATAATGTTTAGCATAAGGCCATAAGCGCATAAGAGCATAAATACAAACCTGAGGAAGTTGCCAATAGTGTCATATCTATGCTCACGCAATAAACGCTGAGTTTCTAATTCAACACTGCCTGCTAGTTCCTCATATTGTTCAACCGTTGATACGATCAGGGCTGGTGATTCATAATGGGCCCAGACCGGCAGGGGTAGCGGCACACCCCTAATCCAGGGCCCGCGTGCCTGTCCCTGTGGCTGACACCATTTTTCTGTCGACTCGAGTCAACTTGGCCATTCGCTGCCCCAGCGACCAACCGTTGGCACAAAGCCATGCTCATCCCTGCAGCTGCTTATTGGCTCTACAGGGCTCTCTCCGTGTTTTTTACTCTTCTCTCGCTCTGCAGCACAATATCAATCAAATCAATATAATAGAATAAAAAATATTAAAAAAAAACATTTCACATTTGAATATTAACTTGAAATTATAAACGTATAAACGATCAACATTTTATGATACCATTATTGATATCAATAATTATGTTCTATGTTTCAAATAGTTATTATAATGCTTTATCTCTTGTATTATCTTTCTCTAATATATATTCTCAATAAATTAGTATGTACCACAATTCCACTGCTATTTAAGAACACGAATTAACACCGTTCCGTAAGCCAAAATGTGCGAAATAAAAGCAGAAAAGCGGATCGCATTTGCAGTTGGTTTCATGTCCAACATGGCGATAGCGGACGCGTGGTTAACAATCAATACAAGACCAAATAGATACGTATCGTGCCACGTGTCTAGTGCGACCTTCGATATAATAACGTATACTCTATAGTAGTATAGTCATATTATTCGAGGAAGACCCTAGAAAGCGTTAATCGAACGCTCGTGTAACTTGATATAAGATAATTCACTTATTTTAACACGTGTGCAATTAATTTCCTACAAATTATGAAAATCAAACGTAAAAAAACATTACATTGTAATTAATCAAATTTATTGAACAAATATAAAGGAGTAGAATTTATTGAAGAAAATAACCTTGAAATATTTCAACAAGACGAAAGTGTTTTATTATTTCCTACTGTTTTAATTAAACATAAGTAATACTACTAAGAAGTGATAACAAATAAGCTCTAGCCTAAGTTAACCTAAATATTTAAATGTTCGCAGTAGAGAAAAGGTCATTGCCAAAATTAGGACAAAAGAAATCTTCTTACAAAAGAAGCATCACAAATGCGCATACCACTTGATAACTTTTTATCACCGTTTTATCACCGTTTATTATTTCAATATTATGAATGTATATATGTACAATGAAAGAAGTTCCTTACCCATACAATGAGCGCACCAAACAAATAAAAACTTTCCCTCTTCTGAAGGCACGCACGTACACGTGTTCAAAGTCCAAGCAGAATTGGGTGGTGGAACGTGAGCGGAGGATTATATACGTTCGCGCCGTATTCCCCTTTCCTCTTGACATTTACCAAGCTCGCTTATCGATGGCGCGTTACTGCCACGTGATCTTTTGCCTATATCCCTCCTTTTCAACTTTTATACATTATTTCAAGAAACGTGCAACATATGGAGAATGTATCTAACAATTATTACAATTTTCACATATATCTTTATTTCGCAACAATCGTTTAACTTGTTGCAATCAAGTGTATTATTCAATATTATTATTATTATTATTATTGTCTCTCTCTTGTACTCATAAAGAGATCCAGTTAAATGAACAGATCGTTTGCGTATGCGCGTTACTCAAATTTTCTTTCTTTCCTTATTTGTTTTTTTTTCTTCGTATCGCATTAAATGTATATCTATGTATCATCAATTTGCACGAATCATAGCATTGCACGAAATCTTAAACAATGTGTCATACTTCTGGGAAATCCTTCTCATTGGATATTATATACATATATTTTTATGAACTACGTCATTCATCGAATCCTGGAATCACCTGTTGTTTATTTCCGTTCTTTATATATCTATATCTATATACACGTATATATAAAGCGATGATGTCATAATAAGTAATTGCTTTACTTTATTGGTTTCTTGAAGCAATTGCACAATGGGTGTCGTTGAAACAAAAGAAATTACTGTTCAAAAAATCAATGATTAATAATGATTATATTGAATGTTAAAGCATAAATGTATATGAAAATATAAAAGATGTAAATATTTACATGATGGAATGTAGAAAATAATCATATATATGTAATAGGAAGTAAAAGTTGTTTTTTTTTGAAACGTAAATTAATATGAAAGACGTCATAGTTTGTACAAACCACCTACATCATCACAGTACACAGTCCATATTGAGAGTTCAACGTGGAGACTATCAGCCACGTGATTATAATGTGACCCGATATGCAGTGCGATTAAGAACCAGTTACGACGCAAAATCTTATTTACTTATAAAATTCAACTTGATATGCCGTATTTTTGTTTTATTCAATTGTCAAAGGTTAGAGTTTGCAAAACAATCTTGTTTTCTATATGAAGTAAACAAAAACAAAGCATAAAAATGCGTAGATAATTAGTGAATTATAAATATTCCCCCCTCCTCTTCGCCTTCCCCACCTAGACATTGAAAAAATTAAAATTAATCTTTTTTCTTTTTTTTTACATTTAGAAAATTTCCCTTTTAGAATTTTTTTATCGCTATTATTATATCGCAATTTAATCTATTTTTATCTGCAATATCCGTCAATCGGATTAAATTGTAGATATTTTTTTAATTGCATCCGTTCAATTAAATTGATAATTTATAATAATAAAATACTTAGAAGCTTATCTTTATAACGAATTCTTTGTTTCCTTTTTTCAATATATTTTATATATTATTGAAGTATATGATATTTGTTATAAATATTTATATAAACGTCAAAAAATTCTAAATTATTGCACATGCTTATTCAATCTTTATAAGATATTTTACGTATGTATAATACATTCAAAATAAAGATGATAATAATAATAATAATACGATACAATAAACAATGTTGAATAACTTTAAAAGTAGTCGTTTTAAAAAATGTCGATATAGAAAATTCAGTATATATCGATATGCAGTCGATAAAACAGACGTCAATGTATTCATTGACATTAACCTATTTCTCTGTTAAGTATAATTCCATATGGAAAAAACTATGATAAAAAATATGTGTATTACGATATTATATTATTTGCTATAGTCTCGTAACTTTATATAACTTGTCTATAGTTTGTTATTAACTTAGAATTTTTATCTAGATCTTTGATATAGAAAAATCAAAATGATCAAATTAAAAACTTTGCCACTGCTTGATAGAACAAGCACAACCATTGTGGAAGAAGGTATAGTAAATTGTATGATTAAAATAATAGAAAAGACATAATTATTTTTAAATTATTAAATATACTATAAATATGTTTCATTTAGATATCAATGTACCTTATGGTAAAGTTCTTATAGCAGGATGGTTGAAAATCTGGACAGAAGTAGAACCTAACAGTATTATAGAATTACTAACTTTTGTAAATCCAAAATCTTGGTATTTAAATGGACCAAAACCATATACATTAAATAATGTTAAAATATCTGATTATTATACAGTTGATGTAAATAAATGTGAAGAAAATATTGTTAATATTTTAGACGATATACTTAACAAAGTAACACAAAAGTCTATAATATTTCTTGATAATTTGGATTCTTTGATACTATATGCAGGTCTTGCAAATTCATTACGATTTGTAGAAAATTTAAATAAAAAAATTGAACGATTAATTTGTCTCTTTAGAAGAGATTGTATACCAAATAAGATATTATCTATTGAAACTCTTGGAAATACATATGTTAGATTGCATAAATATCATGGTATACATTCAAATAATGAATTTACTTATATTGCAAATTATACACATCGCAAATCAGGAGGCAAAATATTGCTTGGGTCAGAATTAGTGAGACAAGACATGACAACATATGAGATACAATCAGAAGATCTTAAAACACAATTTAATTCTGAAAAAAATTCAATGCCTACAAATGACGCTGCAAAAATTGTATCTTCATTCCGATTAGAAATAAATGAACATGAAATGAGACAAAAAGAAAACACTCCATTACCTTATATACCTGCAACACAAATGGTAAATAATGAATGTAAGATTTTATATGTACCAGATGAAGTAGATGATTTGGATGAGGAAGATCCTGATGATGATTTATGCATATAATTTGTATATTATGATTAGGTATATAATATAAATCTATTCAAACATATGTTAACCATTGCATATTTATTACACTTTTCTGTAAATTTATTTAGATATGATATAAGTGTTTTGCCCCATTATTAAATATGCCAAGCTTAATATCAACAATCAGATCAAATACAACATAATCGAGCTTTATCCAATTTTCATGGAAAAATTGATAAAAATGAAATTTTTCTACATTTCTTTTTTAGTTTGTTAATATACCTTATAATCTACTTTATGATATATTATATTTCATTCTATACGATATAATTTAAAATTTATATCTGACGTCTTATTTTTAACAGCATTAAAATATATATTAATTAAATATATAAAGCTACTTTCTCTTTGGAATTTACCTTCAAGATACATACTTTCACATTTACTTAATTTAAACAATATTTGCATATCACGTGTTTTATAAAATTTAGTAGTTACAAATAATATGAATTACCAAAGTATTATACAATGTACTTTAATTTTCAAAAGAAATCGTGCTGTTGTTTAATTTATGTATCATATATGTCTATTTATTAAAACGCCAAAAAACTTTCTAATTACATGATATTAAAAAAATATATATATATATTAAATAATCAGGTTTTGATTAATAGAGATATATGATACAGAAACTTAAAAATGGCGCATACTTTCTTGGTTACTTACATATTATTAAAATAAAAATTTGTTCTTTTTAAATCTCTCATTAAATATTAAATTAGTATTTTCAAAAAATATATAAACAAGAAATAAAGGAAAAGTAATTAATAAAAAATCAAATAAATTAAAATACTCTCTATTAAAGTTTGATAAATAATAATAAATAAATAAATATAATATACACTTCGATCCTAGGCTTAGGCCGTCAAATAATATAATTCTATTTTGTTTTTGTTTCATGAGAAATTTAAAAGATTCAAAGTTATTCTGAACTAATTAATAGTAACATATCATGCACTAAATGTATAGAGTAAGTTTTTGTCATAAAAATGGTATGTACCATCAATATGTTGTAATATTCTACTTTCTAAAAGACAGCGACCATAACGAACAGCATCTTCTCGAGTTTGAACTATCCCAGCTTCTAATAACCAATCTACTAAATCACAACCAGTAAAAACTCCTCTATGCACTTTCAATAATCTTCTTCGACATATAGCTATCCTTGCTCGACATTCGGCTAAATGACATCGATTGAACTGCTCACGAATAGCTTTCGTTTCTGAACTCAATGCATCTTCTGGAGGCAATTGTAGTTCCGTTTCTATTAATATTACAAAATCATATATGACATATGATACACTTTAATGATAACATACATATAAAATAGAAATAAAGAAAAAATTATCTCACCACCGCGCCATTTTTGACTAAGTTGCTGTAACCAAGAGACCAGTTTATTAAGGCCAGGATCAAGTCCAAATATTGCAAAAGCTATTAATGATTGACCGAAATTTAATGCAATATCTAAGAACGCTAATTCTGCATAAATGCCAATCATTTGGTCCATAATTAACGTACTAATAGATATTGATAAACCCTGAAAAATATAAATGTCCAATTTAATTTTGATAATGATGTATAATTATATCATTTTAAAGGAAATTGAAATATTAAATAGGTCTTACAATGAATATAGAACATGAAAGCAGAATAAGGAATACTAAATGTCGTAATATCTGTGGATCTTCTGAATCTGTCGGAGTTACATTTTCTTCTTGATTACAATCAAAAGGATAAGTATTGTTTCGATTCACAGTACACATTGAATTAGGACAAATATTTTGGAATTCACAACCAATGCTACAAGAATAATTTACTTATTTTAGCATTTTATGTATCTACAAGTAGTATAATTTCATACATACATTGGGGTGCTTTCTGAATGAGATACAATATCTTCCACATCAACAACATTTCTTCCATTAGTATCATTACTGACATTAGATCTTTCTCCTTCACTATTTGTACTGCTATATGTGTTTAAATCATTTCTTATTTGATGATACCTTTGTTGTAAAACTAAACAACCTAATGTTACTGCATACAATAAAATGGTTTTATTAAATTATTTCTAATAAAACGTTAGTTCCATTATTATGTATGTACATATGTTTCTTACCAATAAAACAAAATATTAATATAGCAACAGATATAGCAGCTTGACTCCTACCGAGTTGAAAATTCGGATTTTGTAATTCAAATTCGATTGGTTTCTTCGGCGTTATGCAAATACACATTAAAGACACTATCAAAGCTGTTACTCTGTAAGCAACATTTGTTAATATTAAGTATCTAAAAATATGAATCAATGTAATATAATATTTTCATACCCACAACCACTAAGAAGTAACCATTTTTGCATATTTTGGACAAATGATAGTGAATGTGAATTCAAAAAAAGAAGAGTTACTGCAATTGCAACTGTCCATATTCTACTTCCATATACACCTAATGAAATTAAAACAAATTGGATATACCTAAAATGAGATATTCATATTTAATAAAGAAATCTCATTATTAATCGTGTAAACTATTTTTTCATAATAATTTACCATAAAATAGATCCAGTAGAATCTGCTTCGAGTTTTGTCCAAATTATAGTACCAATCGCAGTAATCAACTAAAAAAAAGAAAAAAAAACGCAATGATTAATAAATGTGTACAAGAGGATATGCTAAACATAGATAGATTTGTATAATCATTTCTATTAACAAACCTGAGCGATCACGAGGCAAAGAGTATATTTGTGTGTTACACTTTTATATTTGCGACCCACACCAAGAAAACAAATTAGCAGCCATATACAAGCTACCACAGATATAGTACTTATATCAAAAGAGAAAGCTCGGAGTTGATGAGCGTAACTGGCTGGTGTTACGCCAGCATCAATGGCACTAACTAATTTTGCTGATATGAACATAAGCGGAGCGGATAAAAATGTACAAGCGACCATAGCTGAAGCTATTAAATCAATTTCAACATTGTAACGTAATGTAAATATAAAAAGTGCTGGTGCTGTTGGAATTGTACCATAAAGAAATCCATATGTACTTAAATCTCTGGTATCAGTAACATTATCACCAGCATTTAACAAAATAATCGTCTCCCGAATTACAAGAGGAAGTACTAGCAGTTTAACAGATATCAGTATGCCTGGTATGACTAGAGCTGTACCTTTTAGTTTGTGTACTTTTCCTACCATCATTAAACCAAGAAGAAATAAGGCACTAGCAGAAAAAGCATTTCCAAGTACTTCGAGAATAGCAGCAAGAAAGGGTGGAATAACATGGCTAAATATTATATTTCCTATGATGCCTAAGATTGTCATAAATAAAACTGGATTTAAAGCTACACCCTTTATAACCGAATAAACCATTGACCAGCAAGATTTATTTTCTTCTAAACTGCGTTTACTAATTTCTAATAATATGAAACCAATAGGATTTAAAATAGCCAGTGATATAGGAGCCATGAGATATAGATATGCAGCATATTCGGGATGAGTTTTTTGATAAATGGCACCAACTGAAAATAATAAGTTTGTTGAGGTCTATAAATTACATATTAAGAGAATATACTCTTTTAATAAACTTACTCATAGGGTAACCTATTGCAAAATCATTGCTTTGCGTTGTGAATATTGCAAAGAGTGCTGCACGACCAGAATTCGATGGTTTTTTAATCAATAATGATACCACGAGTACAGTAAAAAATACACAGCATTTTGCAAGTAATATTGCAAGTAAAAAACTCCAATTGACCAACGTAAAATCTAACTTGGCCAATGATGTAAAAATTAGTGATGGTAGAGCAAAAGTACCAACAAAAGTATTTAAACCATTTGCCTCTATTTTTGTAATAACATTAAATCTTCCAGCGATATACCTAAAGGATAATATAATTTTGAAGATTTAAACGTTACTTGATTTTTCCCTAAAAAAACATATTTATACATAGAAAACTATCAGAAAATAACACAAGTTCTTACCCACATAATATTATTCCAAAACATTGTATCAAAGCAATATATAAATTATCAATTGGATCAGAATCGGTTGTTATAAAGCCATCCATATTGATTAATCCAATATTTGATGAATTAGTTGACATGACTCTGTTAAAAAAATTAATTTTAATACAAATTGTAAATGATATTAAAAAGATATTTTATAAACATATTACACATTTTATTATTTCATAATAATTGTCATCTTTCCAGAATAATTGGTTTATATTTATTAAAATACAGATATATATCGATAACGTTCCAGCATAATTTTCTTCTTAGGGTCATTTTTTATACGAGAAATTCGTATATGATTTATCCGAATCATTGCTTTTGAATACTATGTTTTTTTTTTATTTAAAAATTGTACAAGAAACTTCACAATATTTGATAATCGTAATTTTTAATAATATTCCTTAAATTCGTAACGTCTGTTTGACGAAGAAACATGCTTGACAAAGGTGTTTCCTTAATTTTTAAATTGTCCATAGCTTACCGTTGCAATTTTACCATGTAATTTATATAAAAAATAATTTAGAAATACTCAGTGTCTCAATCATGTTAAAGTTAACAAATATAATTTCAACCGACGTATAACAAATTAAAATGTCACGTTTTGACACTTAGCTAATTCATGACTTCGCCGATAGTTGGCGGTCTTATAGAAATGCATTAATAAATTTAGTTTGACTTTTTCGTTTATACAAAATGTTTCATTTTTATTAGATATAAAAAAAATATATTTTCAATAAAAATCTTATTATACTTATTCTTGTAAAAGAAGATTTATTGTAAAAGAACAATTTTTTTCTACAAAACAACTCAAACAAAAAGTAAGTCATTTTAAAATCAATAACAATATCATTGAAATTTTTAAACGCGCGTGATTTCTTCTTTTGAAACTTTTTTAAAACATTTATAATGTTGCATTATCCATACATCAATACATATTAAGCATTTATTTTGTCTAACTGTAAAAACATTTTAATATTTGCAGCAAATATGCATTGGTA